AAACATGGACGCATTTCAATATGTATTAACACATTTGTTGACAACCCATTTGATTTCAGATTTAAGCCAGACCCAAACCTACAATGTGTTAATTGCAAACACAAGTTGGCAGGAGAAATGTTCAGATGTGTGTGTGTGTGTGTGTGTGTGTGTGTGGTAATGGCGCGCATTGCGCTGGAGGAGTTTCACGCTGCGCTGCTGCCGCTAAACTAACACTAATGCTCACGGGGCTAACTGTGGAAAACACGTGAAACTTACACCACCGTGCTTTATCAGCAAACTAGAGCTTAAACAAATGAGGAAACAATCACGCATTGAATGTCTATTCTGTTCGCCGTAATGGCTTGCAGGTTGTTTTGTACATGAATTAGCCACAGCGCGAACTACTATCCCGCTTTTTTATTTGATGTCGGCACTTGCGGTTAGCATAGACATATCTGTGGATGTTAAACGCGATTTTGTTGCGTTTCCAAGCTAAATATCTCTATAACTGTTAAAAGAAATGAAAATCTACGCGTTTACGGTTGATTTTGTGCAGCTATGTAAACACGCGCAGAAAAATATGCTGGTTAGCTTGTTAGCATTTAGCAAACATGGAGAGACCCGCGTAACAGATCGCATCATGTGCGGACCTGCGATTGCTGTAAAACAGCAGACAAACAAAACGCACTTACCTCGAAGGTCTCGCCATTCTGCAGACAGACTGAAAGCCTTTTGCTTTTGCAAACTACAATTTTATTGGTAAAACTGGACTTTTGCAGCTGAAATCCAGGTGTCTCCCGCTGCTGGGAAGCTGTTTCTGTAGCACAGAGCTGTGCGAAACTACCTATGCAATGCAAACTGCACTAAACACGCGCAAATGAGTGCGATCTAGAGCATCTGCTCGCACGCAGCCTTGGTCTGTGTGGGTCGAAAATGGATAAATGTTCAAGTATCCACAGGCCGAATTGCCCTGGTCAAGCCTCCTGTAGAATAGTAGCTAACTAATTAGCTACTGCCTGGCCTGCAAGCCAGGATTCTTTTATGAGTAAAAGTGGGATGGGAGTCTGAAAAACGCAAGATGCCCGCAAACCAGGATTGGATGACCACACTCAGCAACAGCCGTTTACCTACTCATTCACACAGAAAGGTGGCTAATCAGTTGATTGGATTATTTTATTTTAACCATTTCCAAATCCGTTTTAGCCCGATAATGTTATTACCTTGAGATGGTGAAGATAGGCTCATTCAATCAGTGTAATAAACATTACATTTTTAGGGCCTCTCCAAAATCCAGAACAAGTAAAGACATTCATATGTATTCATTTGGTTTTTAAAGTAATTAAACGATTATTTAAAGGTAATCAAAGATCATTATGTTGTGCTCAGATTGTAGGAGGCAACAGGTGTGCAATATTTTAATTTAAAGACACTAATTTTCTTCTCATCCCCTATAGTTTATTAAAACATGCAAACAGTATGTTTAGCATTACATATAATCTGTAGCTTTCTTTCTTTTTTTTTTTTATTTTTTTTAAGTTTTCGTGTTTATAAGCTCAGTAATAGCACTATGTTGCACAGGAAATACATTAGTGCAAGAAGTTATTTTCAGTGGAATCAGGGTAGGCCTACAAAAACATATCCCGAGATTAAGAAAACGCTAGGTTAACAATGCAAGACAATGTCAAGTTGGTTTAGGTTTTAGCATATGTTGCATGGGCATCTTTTGTTGAATATGTCAAAAGGATGATTATTTTAGGAAAATTTACAGGGCATTACTATGTTAGGCAATGCAGATTGTCTGTTAAAAGACCTGGTTATACTTTTTAAACGTTTACTTTATATTTTTTGGGGTTGTTATTTGATTTGGGGTTGTAATATGCAGAATAATTAGGGTTAATGTTAAAATGCTGCAGGTATTTTAAATAAAATATAAATACTTTTATGATTAAATGTATTCTTTGAGAATGTTATTAAAATGTAATAAGATTCTTGAAGATGTAAACCAATTTAAAATTCCATTGCAACTCCTGTATGAAATCTTTAATATATTAACTTCAAATTGGAAAATTTTGTGACATTATAATTTAAGTAAATTTTGAAGAGTAAATAAAAGAGTGAGGGTTGTCTCAAAATATGCTTCATTTGATTAGAAATACTCACATTAGCGCAAACTGAAGTTATGAGAGATATCTCAATCCTGATAAATAATCGGATTGACCATTTATTTATTTTTAAATTTATACCTTTTTACAATTCTGGAAGAAAAGGAAATAACTGTAAATAAACTTTGCATTGTCATCCAGTTCAAAATAAAGTCTAAATTATTTTTATTGACAGAATAATTAACTGCATATTTAGGGTAGATTGTGTATTTTTATGTAACATTGAGTTTGTTTCATAGCTTGACAAATTATTTTTTCTTTACAATAACTCAATTAAACTTGTAATTTATATTTTATTTTTAACTATGTTTGTTTCAATATCCAGTTTTACTTTTTAATTTGGGGTCTTTTTGCTTGCTTGAAAACAAACAAAATACTTTATTAAGGAGTTAGTTGACCCAAAAAGTCATACTTAGGCCATAGTTTATTCTCAAGACCCTGTCCATTGCATTTTTAGAGCTTGAAAGAGCCATTTTCAAAATAATTCACAATGGATTTTACTGAAAGAAGAAATTCATATACACCTGCCTTAATGATGAGTAATCATGGTTTAATTTTCTTTTTGGAATGAACTAACCCTTTAATCTTAACAAGATGGAAAACTGAAATAAAAAATGCACAGTACCGGCAGTATTACAATGGCTGTGTCTGAAAGCAGTCACAAAGGCACCTCACAAAACTGATTTCAGACATCTAAGACAGCATAACGATTTAATCAAACTGAAATAAAAAGTAAAATCAACAAAATAAAAAGAGCTTTAGTGATAGTAAAGGGAACATTGACTTACGACAGTATTAACTTCTCGGTCGAAATATAATTAAAAGTGGAAAAAGGACAAAGAAGTATATTTACACTCTAATTTTTTTCTTTTCTTTTTTAGCTCAACTCTCAGAAACAGAACCACAGAAAATATCAAAGACAGTGAAGGACACATCTCTGCTGTCATAAAAACGGCAGATTTTAAAGGTTTTAATTAGTAGTTACCTCATAAAACATTGTTACATATTGTAAACATTTTATATAGTAAAAATTTTCATTTTCCTTAAAGAGCTTGTGTATTGTAAAGAGCATTATAATTTTGTGGTTAAATGGGTAATATTTTATTGTTTATTATTATAAATTATCAATTTAGGTTATTTAGTGACTATAGAGGTCATCATGTGTACTGTATATTAAATATATTTTATTTTTCCACTTTTCTAGCATGACAGCTGGAAGGTTTAGTGTTGGTGGCTGTTATGGATGCTAAAGTCACCTGCTGAAGTGTGTAGAAAGTTTTGGTTCCTTCACATTGCCAGACTGAACATAATGAGGAGGTGAGGGGAAATACTTTCTAGCTTTTTATGTAAAACTGTTTGTTCATTTAATTTGTAAAAAAAAAAAAAAAAAAAAAAAAAAAAAATATATATATATATATATATATATATATTTTTTTTTTTTTTTTTTTTGAGTGTATAAGTGTGTGTGAATGTGTGTGTGAATGTGGATGTTTCCCAGAGATGGGTTGCGGCTGGAAGGGCATCCGCTATGTAAAAACTTGCTGGATAAGTTGGCGGTTCATTCCGCTGTGGCAACCCCAGATTAATAAAGGGACTAAGCCGACAAGAAAATGAATGAATGAATGACTTTAGATTGCAAAATGTCAAAATTGCATTGCTAAAAGGAAAATGCAGCATTTACAAACAAATGCAATTACAGATGATGTCACATTCAAAAGTAGGTGTCTTAAGTGTTTGTTCCCATGACATGCTTACTGAAATAATATTTTAGATATTGTGCATTAAACTTGGTCTCCTGCTTAGTCCAACACGCCAACCTGTGATCTGTAAGTCACATGAACATTATTTCTTATGTATCAAGAAATTTCTTCAAAAATATATTATTTTGTGTTCAAATTAATAAAGAAGCTCATGAAGGTTTGGAAATTCTTAAGGTTGAGTTGTATAATAGTGAACACGTTTTTCATCTTTGGGTGAAGTATCCCTTTATTGTTAGATTTTCTCTTAACCACTAGATGGCACAAAAACCTGCTCCTTTGTGGATCAGGTGAACTTTTTTTTATTCTTAGGATGAATCATGGCAGCAATTTAAACTTTATTCTAGTTGATTAAAATCATTAAATAGCACATATTCACAGAATGGTACACATTCAGAAATTATGGGTTTATTGTCATTAATATAATGTAGAGTGCTTGGCAAATCCACATTGTGATGTGTCTGTATATTAGTGTTCAGTGGCTTCTAAAAAAGCATGACTGTAGCATCGGAAAAAGACAATCATAAGGATTTTGGGACAGAGACCAAGGCACTGATGTCTGTGAGGATGACCTAAAAGACAATGGGCAGTGGAGGTCACCAGGCAAATTATGGGCTGATGAATGTCAATATAAGACACTGGCACTGAGGGTCACTGGCATTTGGGCTGGCCATATTCTCAAGAAAACAGGAGTGACCCTCCTTAAAGTGTGCTTATTAAACTTTTAAACTAAAAATAAGAATGTATACTTAACAAAAGCCAAAAGCTAGCCAAGAATAACATAAACATCACCTAACACCTTTTGGAATAGAAAAAAATGCAAACTACAACATTTCAACAATTTCTTAGATTTTCTATGTTTATTATTCATTACCATTCATTGACAATTTTCCCAAGGTATAAGACTTATAAGATAAGTGCAAGGTATTAAACTTGAGTGAGACTGTTTCTAGATTATTCTGTTTGGAGTATGTGAATTTGTAAAAAGAATCATTCTTACATGTTAAAAAATAAAGGCTAATTTTATTCACTAAAAGTAGGCCAGTTTGGTCCCAATTATTGAAATAGTTCAGGTAGCACGTTGATGATAATACATTAAGTACATTAAAATAGGCTATATTTGATCCTCACAAAAATGCTTGAATAAATAAAAAAAGTTAACTTTAAGTCCATTAAGTGTACATTTAACTAACCCACATTTTACTTGAAGTACTTATTTTCCGTTGGTGTTATCAATTAACATTAATATGTGAAAATATTACAGCCTGTACAGAAACTGTCATGGGCTTAGAAAGTTATTAAACGCTGCTTCCGCGTTACAAACACTAGTAATCGCCTTTCGAGTAGTAATAGAGAAGATCTGAATGTGAACAGATGGTCACTTGATTATGTTTGGTTCTGACAAAGCGTCTTGTTGAGGACATTTCCCAATCCAGAGCTGAATTCACATGAAGAGGAGGGACACTCGTTTTCCTCAGAAAACACAGGTGAGGCAACTTAAGTCGGAATTAAGCTAGTCGAATGATCTCAAATGCGGTTTTGAACGGTTGTAAAATTGCGATGTTTTTGTAATATAGCTTAGCTGTCAAACGTAAACTGCGCACAGTTGATTAAGATATACATTTTTACCACACTTGGTGTCAAACGCGGAGACGAGAAAATTCAAATAAATAATCTATTATCTCTTCTAAATAATCTAAATGTAAGTCTCCTGTCTAAATGAAAAAAAAAAATAATACTACCAACTTACATTGTTTCATTACAATCTATTTTAACCTGTATGCTAAAGCATATTATTTTTTACCTTTTACTGTACAAAACGACTATTTAAAGCTGAAAGGCTACTTTTAAAACAGAAAGAAAATGTTTTAACACAAGCCATCTGTCCTTCATTCTCTAACATCATGTTTTGTTATTATAGCTAGTTCTAAATTTCACAATATGTGAACTGCATGGTCTTGATGAGCTTGTTAAAAATGCATATATTTTCACCATGTTGATATTTGAATCCTGAATACATTGAATGTTATCCAGGCTACATTATTGTTCAGCTGTGATCTGCCCAGAGAGACATGGAAAAGCACCAGGGAGCAGCTTTTCATATTCAGGTACCAGTGCTTGTCAATATCAGTCAGAAGAGATGTGAGCACAGCAGTCATTAAAGATCAGATTATCTACAGAAGTAATATTGACACTAGTTGTGAAGAGGGGTTTAGTTTTCTTACACTTTTCATTTCTTTATTACAGTAGGTCTTCTTTATGATGGTGATGCTATTGAACCTCAGGCTTCTTTGACAGAAGATTAAGTAAAGGATCATAAATTCAGGTATGCTCTTTCTTTCTTTCTTTCTTTCTTTCTTTCTTTCTTTCTTTCTTTCTTTCTTTTTTTTCTATCTGTTTCTTTATTTTGACAGTTAATTTGTATTTAATGTATAGTGTGACGATATGCTGTTTGTTTTCTCATTCTGTTTTAAATATGAAGTAGACATAGACAATTAAAAGTAAACAGGCAGAATGTACACAAACATACATGTATTTGAATAATGATAAATGAAAAATACATGCTTTTTTAAATCACAGAAACATGCAAGCATGTGCTGGAAAAGAGAAATATGTGTGAGGCTTGTCTGCAGGAATAAAGTAAAGCATAAACCAGGTGCTTTTCTCCTTGTGTGGCTCCTGTTCTTACAATCAGTGTCCAGCAGCAACCAAAGCTCTCGAGGCCAAAGCGGTGAGCAAAGCCATCTAATTCATCTCTCTCTCTCTCTCTCTCTCTCTCACTCACTCTCTCTTCTCCTTTTCCCTTAGGTCTCATTACACACACTGGACACACAGTTAAACGGCCCCTCTGGGAGCACAGTCAGACCACTGCTAATGACAGCTAAAGAATCATTTGGCACCAACTATAACTCATTCAGTGATTTGACACAATGAACTCCTGAGGTGCCTAGTTGATTTAAAATTTAAAAGTTTATTTGCATTCTTATTTTTAGAAAGTCAAACATTACAGCAATGGACAAAACACTTGAATAATCTCACTTGATTTGTTGGTTTGAGTAAAATGTTAATATAGGTTTCATTTTGTAATAGTCTTATAACATTTCTTCCCAATTTCTAATTGTTTCAGCATTTCATTCTGAAAATTATGTTTTCATTTGTTGAGATTAAAAATAATCCACCAAATATTATATTCAGTCATTTGTTTTCCTTTAGCCTATTCCCTTATTTATCAGGGGTCACCACAGCAGAATGAACTGCCAACTATTCCAGCATTTCTGTTATGCAACTGATGCTCTTCCAGCTGCAACACCCATACACTCTCGCATATACACACACACTAATGCACTATGGCTAATTTATATATATTTAAAGAGTTCACACTTGGCTGATGATTAATTATTAGCTACTTTGGCATGCTGTCCCGGGAGAGAGCCCTGAGCTCATAAGATCCTTGAGCCCGGGGTTCCCTCCCTTTGCAAGGCGAGAGGTGAGTTTGAGCTCAGGTAGATCTCTAGAACGCCCCTGCTGTAGTACAGTAACTACTGAACAGATAGTGATTGCTCTCAAGAGATAACTTACTACGAGCATGTCTATAGTGCCGATTTGGATAAGCCAATTAACTTAAGTTGCATGTTTTTTGGATGGTGGGAGAAAACCGAGAAACCTGGGGGAAACCCACTTGAGCACGGGGAGAAAGTGCAAACTTCCCACAGTAACCTCTGCTGGCTTGGTAAAGCCTGGAACCAGAGACATTCTTGCTGTGAGGCAACAGTGCTAAGCACTGGGCCACCGTGTCACCCATCTAGGAAGAAGGAGGAGTAGGGGTGGATGAGGGTATTCTTCGAAAAGAAGATAGCAGTGGTACGTAACCCAGGGTATTTGTAGTAGCTTAGGAGTCATCTGATTAGTGCATTGAGAATTGGATAATGCGGATCCAGCCGCTAGCAATCATAAGCATGTGATCCTCTCGAAACTAGTTTATGAATAAACTTCACATATATTATTTTGAAGTAATGTCATATGCAGCTTATAGAATAGTACAACAGAGATCAGATTTTACTCAAAAACATAATTATGAATTATGGTTCAAAGATGAAAAGGGGTTACAAGTTATTTTGATTACATAATTAAAGTCTCAATTAAAGGTATGATCACGGTGTAGCCCAAAACTACTAATTTTAATATAAATAAAATATTGTGATTTTTTTTACATATTCATTTATAAATTTTTTTTGGCTTAGTCCCTTTATCAATCTAGAGTCGCCACAGCGGAATGAACCACCAATTTATCCAGCATATGTTTTTACGCAGCGGATGCCCTTGCAGCCGCAACACATTACTGGGAAACCCGCATACACACTCATTCACAAACATACACCACTGATAATTTTGGCTTACCCAATTCACCTATAGCGCATGTCTTTGTACTTGTGGGGGAAACCCACGCGAACAGGGTGAGAACATGCAAACTCCACACAGAAATGCCAACTGACCCAGCGGAGACTTGAACCAGCTGTGAGGCGAAAATGCTACCCACTGCACCACCTCTTATACATAGTTAGTATACATAGAGTTATTTTACATGTATGCTATATATATTATATGCCAAAGAAAAGCTACACAGTTTTAGATAATTCTCATTTGTAAAAGTTTAAATAGCAATTATATATATATATATATATATATATATATATATTTATAGCAAAATAATAATAAAGTAAATGTTTATTTAGACCTAGAGGATTTAAAATGAGTTAGTACGATTCTAAGGACCCACGCACTTTTGGGGCCCCCAGAGTTTCTCTTAGGGGGCCCAACTGCCAACACACAACAGAAAAACAAACAGTCAACAAAAAACTTTTTAAAAAACACAACAAATATACAAACATCCCCAACACTAATTTCCCTTTTGTGGCTTTGACAGAAGAGACCCATAGCTAAAAGCAAACATCAAAGTCCTCAAGCAAATGCATAGGAAGTGTACATACACGGTGCATACACAGCTCCAATAAAGTAATGTAACAAACATTTTTAGATCACATCTTTTGAGATTGTATGGGATTAAATATCTTCCAGCGCTTAGAAATGTTCATTGTCAACATATGTAAGAAGGGAGACCATGTTTCTAAAATAATAACCTCTGGAGCTGAATAAAATGCATCACATCTTTAACCATTCTACTATGTGTTGGGGCTCATGGCATGATGTTTAAATGCATTGAATGTATCATACAGGAAGCTGCCTTTAAATATGTTTTTTTAGAAATGTTTATTTCCTGCATTTAGAAAGTCACCTACTCAAAGTAGTTTTAGTGTCATGTTTGACCATGTGAGGGCGCCAGAATGTTAGAAATAATTTCTCTGTTTTCACAATATTATATTTCGAGATATGAGTATATGACAAACAGTCAGCTCTGATTGAAGCCTTGTCATTTCTGTCTGTATCAATGTAAGGTCGACCTGAAGTGAAGCCGGGCACCTGTGAGGTAGTGGAGGCTCATCGCTGTTGCAATAAGAATAAGATAGAAGAGAGGTCTCAGACGGTCAAGTGCTCCTGTCTGCCTGGACAGGTTGCTGGGACCACCCGCACAAAGCCTTCATGTGTCGATGGTATGTCCACCATCTTCACTCAACATGAGTCTTTTGACAAATGAATCTAATCTACTTTTACATTTCAGGGTTATGAGTAAATTAATCTAAGGAAACTGCGTCATATACAGCATATATCATTATTGATTCTGCATTTATTTTGATTTGTGTCCATACAGTCTACGATCACTAGAAAATAAATGATTTAGTGAAATGATTTTTGTGACAGTTGACGATAAGCTGCAGTTGATGGTTTGCCGGATTTGTTTTAGTTTCAGAAACAGGTTGGACCTCAGGGCTCCTTTTGATTTAAAACTCCTGCAGCACAGAACAGTGGCTTTCTCAAGCTGTCAGTCTCTTTAAATTTAGTCTCGGCTTGAAGGTGTAAATCTAATCCCGCTCTGCCCTTTTTGGTTGGAGGGTGAGGATTTACTGCCATGTATTATGCTGGAGGAATTTTGGTTTGATGATTTTTTGCTGCCAAAACATTTGAAAACATTTTTGAGGGATGCACTGATATTACATTCTTGCTTATATAAAAAACTGTAAATTAATCAACAAAACATAAATGACAGATTTTAAAATCCTATAGTGTTAGAGTTCTTAAAACATTAAAAACTACTACCTAAATGCTTGTTTTTCAATGCTAAGGCATCACAATATTATGGACCACAAAACCATTCATAAGCATCATTTTTTTTTAAATTGTGTTTTTTCCACTGACATATGGTGTGTTAAGAGTGAACAAGGTCCTACTTTATATTAAGTATCCTTAACTAATGAGTACTTACTTCAAAAAATAAATACGAATGTATTTAATGTGTTCATAATGTATTACAGAACACTTCTGGTGCTCTTGAGGTGTAGGGTTAAGGTTAAGGTGTAAGGAGTGGACCAACAGTGTAATTATAAATGTAATTACAGAATTTAAAATGTAATTACATGCATTTAATTAATGAAGCATAAGTACAATGCACAACAAGTAAGTTGTAATGAATTATTTATTTCAGCATATTGCTGCATATTAGTTAAGGCCACCTAATATAAACTGGGACTGTGAACAATATTTGGTTAAGTTACAACTATTTTAAAATCTGGACTCTGAGGGTTAAAAAATAACCAAACAACTAAAATTTTAAGGAAGTTACCTTTAAAATTGTCCAAATTAAGTTTTAGAAATGCATAGTAGTAATAAACAATTGAGTTTAATTTATTTACAATAGAAAATTTACAAAATGCTTTCATGAAACATGATCTTTTATTTAATGTTGAAATAATTTTTGGCCTAAAATAAAATCTATAATTAGTTTGGACCCATACAATGTATATTTGATTATTGCCAACAATATACCCATGCAGCATAAGATACACATGTTAAAAAAAGAAATTGTTGGAATATCTAGCCAATTCCGTTGGCTAGATATAAAGAAAAGGTTTAAAGAGGGTTTTCTTCAATGCCAAAAATATTAGTAATTTATTAGATACAAATGAATAATTTGATGACAGAGCTCTGGGTTTCATTACCCCAATGCAATACAAGAATTACATTCAAGAGGTTTGCAACTAACATACATTTCCTGACTCCAGCATATATACACAACTGATATTAACAGGTGGAGTTTTGGTTTAACATCACTTATCAGTCATTCTGCAGTCTTTTGGCTCTTGTACCCCAAACATACTTCCTCTTTCTGCATCCCTTCTCTGTATACCAGAACTGAACAATTATGTGCATCTTTAATATATTTCACAACTTCTACAAGCATCATGACAACTTGTGACATGTCTAGACTGCAGTCTGGAACAAAGGCCCCCACCCTAAATTTATTCATATTGTGCTATTTCCCTCTTGTCAGCATGTTCCTTCTAAACAGTATCAGCACAGTAAAAAAGAGGAAGTGTGTTTGGTCAAGATGTGATCTCATACAATAGAAAAAGATTAATTAATCTGTTGTTGGTCTAAACATTTTTCTAATAAAATTAAAAACACAAAAGTAATAATAAAATAAAAATAAATTCCTTTTTTTCCAACAATATTTTGTCAGGTTTTTGCTGAAGATTACATTTTACAGTATTCTTCATGTTTAATTCATAATAATATTAATCTTTATTCATTTATTCAGTATTATTCATTATAAATAATCCAATGGGCATTAGATGATAAGCAGATACAAATAACTCCATAGTTTACCCAAACAAATAATGCATTTACTCACCATCATGTCATTCTATGCATTTCTTCTGATGGACACATAAAGAAGAAATTTTGAAGAATGTTCTCGACCAGTTTTGGCTCTCACTGCCTTAAAATGTATTTTTGATCACAAAATGGAAGTCAGTTTGCACCTAAACTTAATCCACAGAGAAAGTGATTTGACAAATTTGGACATGATGTTAAGTACATGAAAACGTAAATTTTTAAGAGAACTATCACTTTAAATATATTTGTATTCATATACAGTTGAAGTCAGAATTATTACCCCCCTTTGTTTTATTTTTTCCCCTTTTTTAAATATTTCCCAAATGATGTTTAACAGAGCAAGGACATTTTCACAGTATGTCTGATAATATTTTTTCTTCTGGAGAAAATCTTATTTGTTTTATTTTAGCTAAAATAAAAGCATTTTTTTTTTAATTTAAAAAAAACATTTTAAGGTGAAATTATTAGCCCCTTTAAGCAATTTTTTTTCTTTTGATATTCTACAGAACAAACCATCATTCTACAATAACTTGCCTAATTACCCTAACCTGCCTAGTTAACTTAATTAACCTAGTTAAGCCTTTAAATGTCACTTTAAGCTGTATAGAAGTGTCTTGAAAATATCTAGTAAAATATTATCTACTGTCATCATGGCAAAGATAAAATAAATCAGTTATTAAAAATTAATTATTAAAACTATTATGTTTAGAAATGTGTTGAAAGTCACATCTAATTTAGGGGGGCTATTAATTCTAATATCAACTGTAAGTCCAAAGTTGGATAAGCAATAATACATGTACTGTGCATATTTGCTTTTTAATGAATAAACTAATTGAAACTTATTATTAATAATATTCTACAGTGATTTACCCATGTTTTTTTCCCCACACAGGCCACTTGAGCCTATAGTCAGCTGTGTTGATTCTTAAATCGATGAAAAACCCCTTTGAATCTAAATACTAATGCAGAATTCAAATCTTCATAATTCATTCCTTGATAAAATGTCAAGAAAGTACCCTCAAAAGAAAAAAATCCAGATATAATACCCCATTCATTTTAATACATTTTCCTCTTATCTGCAATAACATTACTGTATCTGGAAGCCTGGGGTGCACACGTAGTGTTACACGGGATATTACCATTTGACTTGTTCAAAAGAAGCTGCTGACTGCATGTGGATCTTTCCACGAATATCCAGCTGCACAAAAACAGCATGAATTCCCATCGCAGCTCTGTCTTTCTGATGAAGCTGGTTGACCGATGCAAGTCTCGCAGGTTAAGATGGTTAACAAGCCAGCACATTAGCGACCCATGCCGTGACAGAGGCCAAAACACAGCATATGTTGTCCTGTTGTTGGTTTTTTTTTTCTTCCCCTCAGCAATTTTGTCAGCGTGGAGCATTAATCAGCGTGTCTTTCTAACAGGTTCTTCTTTCTGTGTGGGTTTATGTGCATCTGAGAGGTGGGCAGTGAGTTCATGTGGGTGTGATATCGTGGTCATTTTTGTGTTTGTTTCTGAGAAGATTTAACAAGCCTCAATATTTCAGTTTGTTTTGAATGCAATTCGGTTATTTGTGATTGTATACATCATTAGTATACTGATCTCTGGAATGATCCATTCTGATTGGTTTTTGCTGGAAAATAACATTTCTCTGGCACAAAAGGTGCTAGATTTATATATAGTTTTTCACCCAAGTTCAACTTAAATCTGTATCTCATGACCTTGTTGTATTTATGTACTTGGTCAAGAAGCCATTTAGTAAGCAATTTAATAAATTCAGGAAGCTTTAATGATAAACGTTAACGTATATTTTAAAGGAAATCTATTATTTATTTTTATGCACATTGACATATACTGGCGTTTCTAACTTGAAATATTCCTTTATACTCTATCAGTGTTAACTGTGTTTTTTATGTCAGTGTCTACATCAACACACAATATTGTTCCATTAAATTATATTTAAAACATCAAATAGAATTTTTTTTTTCTAAAAAATTTACAGTAACATTTCACAATATTGCAGTTTGAGTAACACATTTGAGGATTTTAATCTTTAGTAAAGTGAATGTATTTTTGTTATTATAAGCATGTCGCGGTTTTGTCATCAAACTTTTTTAATGCATACTTTAAAGCAGGATGGATTCTGATTGGATCTGAAAAGAAATTCTGAAAGTTATTCCCGTTATATTGTTTGTCTGTGCTGTTATTGTTATAGTTGTGGTGTTGACGCAAATCTTTTCTATTTTTCTATATTTAGGTTATTTAAATATTTAATGATTTGTATATTTTTAAATGCATTCTAGCCAAAGGTATTTATTTGACGGTGTTTGATTTTAATGAAAATACAAAAAAAGTTGTCTTAACCTTTAGCGTTTGTGTCAGGGTTAATTTTGTGACAATTCTTAGCAAACATAATTTAAATATTATTAATTCATATTATTAAGCATTTCTTTAATGGATTTGATCAAAATTGACAGTAAAGTCAGTCTAAGATTTGATTAAGCAATATTATATAGCGCTTTTCTAGACACTCAAAGTGCTTTACACATTTTGGGGGGAAATACCCTCTCCACCACCCGTGTGCAGCATCCACCTAACATGACGGCAGCCATATTGCACCTCAAACCAGCTGATTGGTGGAGAGGAGATAGAGTGATGAAGCCAATTATTATATGATATGGGGATGGTTAAGAGGATCTGTGGGTTACAATAATCACCCACAGAGTGCAAGATGGCCAGGATGCTTTGAAGCTTAACTTCTTATCCGAAACACTGCTCACTGAGCAGTATAGAGTCCCCATCAATATACTGGGGTATTAGGACCCACACCGACTGCAGGTTGAGTTCCAGCCCCCTGCTGGTCTCACTAACACCACTTCTGGCTGCAACCTAGTTTTGTGGTCTCCCATCCAGACACTGACCAGCTCTACTTAACTTTAGTGGGTGACCATGTGAGAGTTAATGTAAATGTAGTTAATTGATGGATTATTATTATTTATAAATTATTATCATTATTATTGTAGCCCACAGATCCTTTTGCAGCTATTCCGTTCTGAGCTAGCCCTACACTAGCTGGCCTCTGTTACATTATTATTAATATTAATATTATTATTATTATTCATTCATTTTCTTTTCAGCTTAGTCCCTTTATTAATCTGGAGTCGCCACTCTGGGGTCGGAATGAATTGCCAACTTATCCAGCATATGTTTTAAGCAGCGGATGCCCTTCCAGCTGCAACCCATCACTGGGAAACACATACAGTACACACTCATTCACACACACATACACTACAGACAATTTAGCCTACCCGATTCACCTGTGCCGCATGTCTTTAGACTGTGGGGGAAACCGAAGGACCCAGAGGAAACCCACGTGAACACAGGGAGAACATGCAAACTCCACACAGAAACGCCAACTGACCCAACCGAGGCTTGAACCAGCGACCTTCTTGCTGTGAGGCGACAGCACTACCTACTGCGCCACTGCGTCACCCATTATTATTATTATTATTATCATTATTTTTTTTCGTAGTTTTTGTTTGTGTACTTGATGTTGAGTGTTGGTGTTTATTGTGTTAAGTGTGTCATTCTTGTTATACGTGAAGCACCACCATGTGAGAATGAATTGCCTTGCAAGGGGATTAATAAAGCTTTAAACATAAACTTAAGATGTTAATATTTTAATGGACATTTTTCTGAGAATTCTGGAAAAAAGTGGATCATGCTTTTTCCACAATATTAAGAAGCACCACTTTTTCAAATATAATTGAGAGAAATGTTTGAGCAGCATATATTATAATGATTATGTGACACTGAAGACTGCTCGGAATCATAAGAATAAATTACATTTTAACCTGTATTTTAGAGTAAAATATATTTATTATTTTATTTTTATGTATTTTGGATAGTTACTTAAGATTATTAACTATAATTTAGTTAATTAAAATTGCAATCCAGTGTATTTGTAATAAAGCTAATAATAAAATGATGTTTTTTTTTTTTTAATTGTGAGATGCAGCCCTAACATTAAAACATTAAACCCCAAAGGAAAGAATCATACAAGTTTGAAAAATATATATATTTTTTTAAATGTTTTTGATGGTTGTTTATGTTGTTCCTGTCTTTGACTTCAGTTTTCTTTCATTGCCTCCCAGCATCTATGGTGCGGATGAAGTGGTGGTGTCATATGAAGCCATGTTTGGATGATGAAGACTGTAAAGTATTGCCTGACCTCACCGGCTGGTCCTGCAGCTCTGGGAACAAAATCAAAACTACCAAGGTGAGCAGTAAGGCCTGGCCCATGGAGACAATTCACTGCTAGATCAGCAGCAGCTTGACAGAGACCACACGTGTATGTCAGGGCCCATATGCCAGATGTTTTGTGCTGAATGTCCAAACAGCAATGCTTGTTTGGACTGTAAATGGTAGTTTTTGCTATTCATTGCTTATTTTACCTGTCATATAGACTATCATCTAAATTGCATCTTGGCCCTTCTTTCTCTTTTAGGTCACACGGTAAAGCAACACTTCTGTGGACATGCGATGACAACTCATAATTTCACAGGAGCATATTTTAAAGTCAGACCAGCAAATGTCAACAAATATGCAGGTTCAAAAAAAGATGTAAACTTAGATGGCGAGAAGTTTTGAAAGCGTTGGGGAATTTTGTTTGTCTATTCAAGAGTTCACACTTAGCTGATGATTGATAATAAAGCTAGTTTGGGGTGCTGTCCCGGGAGAGAGCCCTGAGTTTATAAGATCCTCGAGCCCTGGACTCCCTCACGTTGCAAGGTGAGAGGAGAGTTTGAGCTCAGGTAGATCTCGATGACTCCCCCTCTTGCTTGTTGTAGCTAAGTGTCAGATATGGATGCTGAATGGTGTACTCAGAGTTTAGCTAAAGTTTTTGGATTAATTGTTTAGAGTGCTTGTTTTTGAACTGTGGGAGGAAACCGGAGGAAACCGGAGGACCCAGGGAAAACCCACGCGACCACGGGGAGAACAAGCAAACTCCGCACAGAAATGCCGTCTGGTTTGGAAAGGAATTAAACCAGGGGCATTCTTGCTGTGAGGCAACAGCGCTAATCACTGGCAACCGTGACGCTCATTTGAAAGGAGGGAAAGTAGGGTTGGGTGGGGGGGTTTCTTCAAGACGAAGATATTGAGATGAGAAAAGTCTGGTTATTTATAGTGAGTTAAGGATCGTCTGATAGGATAATCAGTCATTAGCTCAAGTTGGAACAGCTGTGAACAATCATAAGCACGTGAACCTCTCGAAATTTGTTTATAAATAAACTTCACTTAATGCTAAAACTAATTATTTTATTTTTTACAATAATATATTAATAATAAAAAAACAACAATAAATGTTTTTTGAGAATCAATTCAGCATATATCAATAATTTTCAAAGTATCATACTGACACTTGAATAATGATGCAAAAAAATCCAGCTTTACCATCAAAGGAATAAATTACAATATAAAATATGATTGTATAGAAAGTCATTATTGTAAGCTGTTATGATTTTTCTCAATTGTACCATTCTTCAACTGTATTATTGAGCAAAAGTGACTTTAAAAAAATCTAACAGACCTTTTGTCAATGTCAGTTTTATTTATGTAGCACTATTAAACACAACCAGAGGTTGACCAATGTGCTGCACAGTACACATCACAACAAAGAAAAATATAAAGTCATAGCTAAAACAGACAATTTACATTGATAAAATGCAAAACCAAAGAGGTAAGTTTTCAACCTAAATTTAAAAACAGACAGAGATGAAACAGATCACTGGTTAGATGAACTGTTAGACCTCACCAGGCTTTTTTACAGTACAATACTGGCAACACTGTAATAGTTTGGTTAAAGTAAATGAGATCAATGTTTTCAAAGTGCACTACGAAGGGAATGCATTTGTCAATATAAAGATCTCTAAAACTGAACTGTAAAAATACTTTGAATGCTAATTACACCTAAGAGGGATGACTTTAATGCTTTTTTAAAATCATTCTAAGTTTAAGTGTTAGAATGTTCTAAATTAATTGGGCATAGGGGATAACTGGGAATAGAACACAGCCAGTAACTATGTTTCTAATTACAGCTCCAGAGGTGTAGTTGCAAGCATACAATTTGCGACGCAGTTTGCGAATGTTGGTTGGAACGTTGGATTTTGGGAAACGGCAAATCAACGAACTATGTTTGTAACGGCGGAACTTGCAACTATTGTTGGCTTACGATGGTTTTCGGAAAATCAAGCTGATGCTCAATCAACATGTCTGACAGATAAGAATGTGCCAGGCCATTTAGAGATTTAAAAACCAAGAGAAGAATTTTAAAAGTGGCTCGATAGTACAAAGGCAACCAGTGCAAAGAGCGTAAAATTGGTGTAATGTGGTCATGTTTTTTAGTACCGGTTTAAAGCCTTGCAGCAGCATATTGAACTAACTGTAAACGGGATAAGGTTGTCTAACTAATCTGAAAGTATAGCGAGTGACAATAGACTAATCTAGTGTAATAAAAGCTGAGGATTATCTTTTACACAATTTTTTCTAGATAAAATAAATTTAACTTTAAGAGTCGAAGCTAAAAAAAAAAAAAGCAGGATTTAACCACTGCACTAAGTTCAAAGACAACAAGACTTTTAGATCCTACAAGCATAATAGAAGAGTCTCTAACCCACTTGAAGTGTAGTCTACATTTAAAGGGGCTATGAAAATGAAAAATCAAACTGTTCTTGATATTTACACATGTAAAAAGTTACTCTGCAAAGAAATAATGAAGAATGGGCTGCAATGTCGAGTGAGCGATGCCATTAATGATTGGTGATTATGCTCACTTCCACATTTTGTGGGGTTACAACAAAAAACAGCTGTAAAAAGTAAATGTTTCAACATTGGGAATTTAATGAAAAACACTGTAGTGTCTTTTGTAAAATGGTGTTCCAATATTATATCTTACCTGTCTGGTTGTGCCTCCAACACTATATTTGAATGGTTTTGAGGTTGGGGTTAGGGTTTGGGCTAGGTCTGAGTGATATTCCAGCCTCGGATTACACTGCTCTACACTATCACACTGTCTGATTGGGTTGCATAATTTGTTATTGAGATGTGCTGCCTATTTTTTGAATGGGAGGTTGGATGTTCTAACATTGTAGGACCCACAGGCAGACCCATCGACAGAATAATAGTCTTTTTCACACAGTATTCCCAATGAATTACTGTAAAATCACTACAACTAATGTACGGGTAAATTAAATAAATGTGTTGTTAACACATGGCAGAATTACAAGAATTTTTTGTATAACTACACTTAAAATATGACATTTGTTGTTAGTTTAAATCACTTATTTAAAATGAGCTGAAACATAATTCTCAAGATTTGTTTTAACTTAATTGGTAAGTTCAATCCACTTACAATTATAAAAGCTAATAAGTTAACTTAATTGCTTCATTTTGCCTTAACTCAAATGCATTTTTTGGAACTCAGCACTTTTTACAGTTTACTGTATTCCTGGAACTTCTCATTGCAGTAAATGCTGTTGCCTCACAGCAAGAAAGTCGCTGGTTCGAGCCTCGGCTGGGTCAGTTGGCATTTCTTGTGTGGAGTTTGCATGCTCCCTCCGTGTTCGCATGGGTTTCCTCTGAGTGCTCTGGTTTCCTCCACAAATCCAAAGACATGCGGTACAAGAAAATTAGGTAAGCTAAATTGTCCATAGTGTATGTGTGTGAATGAGAGTGTATACGGGTTTCCCAGTGATGATGGGTTGTGGCTGGAAGGGCATCCACTGCGCAAAACATATGCTGGCGGTTCCTTCCGCTGTGGCGACCCCAGGTTAACAAAGGGACTAAGCTGAAAAGAAAATTAATGAATGAGGAATGAATAATCTGGGAAAGTTTATAGGCTATGTGTAAATGGAGCTGCTAATACTTTAAAAAGAACATACCTAAATTTAACTAAGTGAATGGAATTGCCACTGTGAAACAGGTTGTTGAAGACATTGAAGACAAGTGGTTGCAATGGCTTCAGTTTCATCTGCCCCAGAATCTCACTTATTCTCAAACATATGCAGCTTTTCCAAAGTGCCTGTTGTATTGAGTATTACAGCAAAAACATGGTGTAAACAGGGTGCAGATATGGTTCAGTGCAGTTAGCCAGTCACAGTAGTGAGTGTAAACTTCTGTTTCTGCCAGACGAAATACCCATTCAACAGAGAAAATGTGGATCTAAAATGATCTGATATACTGGTCTTTTTAGTGCTAAAATGTAACAGTTTAATGACCTTGAGACATAAAAAAAATTGAAAATGCATTCCACGAGGCCTTTAAGAGAAAATAAAGATCGCATTGCTTATGGCTTTGAATGACATGAGGGAGAAAAAATATTTTTTAGATGTAGGTGAACGTTCGAGGTTACAGAGGCAACCCTTCGTTCCCCGAGGAGGGGAACGGAAGTGCCATAGAGTGGATGAAATCCACGAATGGGAGGATTCGGTTCAGAAGCCGCTTGTCTGAAAGAGTATTGAACGGGCCAATGAATGCAATGAATTGGCAGCGTAAGCTTGCACAGGTGTACTTCATTGCCAATTATCCCAGCATATAAGCACACCTGGAGCGAGCAGACGCCATCCTTTTAAGCTGAAGAGACTTTCAAACAGCTAAGGGACAGTCATTATGGCGACGGAGTATGGCACTTCACAAGGGTTACTTCTGTAACCTCGAACGTTCACCTTCGGTTGGGGAACTTCAGTGCCATAGAGTCGATGAAATCCACGAATGGGAGAAGTGTGGAAAGCGCCATAATGACTGCACCTTACCAACGCCCCCGATGAGGGGATTGTCAAGCAAGCGTGACGCACCCACATCATGGGAGGCGCGGTCCTCCAACGTGTCCCTGGCCCTAATTTATCCTACTTCAACAGAAGTTTTAAGGATTGAGATATATTTTTGGGAAGTCGTGAGCATCTAGATAATTATAGGAAAATACGACAGTACGTTGGAAAGCGTGCAATCCCGATAGGGAGGACGCTGCGGAGGCCATCCGTTACCCAAGGGGGGATAGATGGCAGAATTTACATATGGACTAGCCCTAAAAAGGGGGAGTACGCATAGCAAAAAAATGGTTAGCAGAGAGGGAAGACACGGGTCCGGCCAAGGGGGGGGGGGGGGGGGGGGGGGACTTAACCGTGGCGGAATAAGCATATGGGATCGCCTAGTGGGGATCACGCATAGCAGGCACCTTTACCCAAAACGCGGGCTGACCAGCGGGCAGACCTACAATGTAGTGGGCCAGCAAGTGACTCCTCCGCTGAGTCAGTGCTGGGGGCCACAGAGGAATCTGCAGGGCTCACCTGACGGGGAACTTTACTGACAGATAAAAAGGCGCACGTACCTCCGTGTTAGGGAGAATGGCGCAGCAAGCGTGTTTCAACACCCTACCGAATTGTTTCCTCAATCACCAAGGGTTACCTAATACCCTTGAGGAAACCGGCTCCACTCGCAGATTGTAAAACACTGCAAATGTGTTGGGTGTCACCCAGCCCGCAGCTCTACAGATGTCTGTTAGAGGGGCGCTGCGCGCGCGCGCGCTCGAGTGGATGCGAAGCTCCGAGTGGAGTGCGCACGCGCTCTCGGGGGACGTGGCTCACCTCAGCTCTGATAGTGAAAGAAAGGCATCCACAATCTAGTGGGAACTTATTTCGGTACGGCACTTCCCTGCTGCCGACCGCTATAACAGACGAAGAGCTGCTCAGATGATCTAAACTCTGAGTGCGGTCCGGATAATACGCAAAACGCGAACTGGACAATAAAGAAGGGCTGGGTCTGCCTCCTCCGAGGGCAGCGCTTGCAGGCTCACTACCTCGTATTAAAACGGAGTGGTAGGAACCTTG